TATCTCAGCAATGCCAACATCAAATCAAACATCTCAACAAAATTCTTAAAATCAAAGACATAATTAATTTCAACAAAATCCCCAAATTATATTTCATTCCTAATTAAACCCTATAAAACTCAATTTCAAATTAAAATTAAAACTAAGATGCATACATTTATTTTAGGAATAACCTAATAGAAGAAGATAATTAAAGATAAGAGATTAAGAAGAATACTTATTTCCTTGTATATGAGAAGAGAAGAGAAGATGCTGTCCAGTGTCCACGATTGCACAACACAGCCAAGACTTGCGTTGAGAAGAAGCTCTCCCGACTCTGTCTGGAATTGCACTGCACAACCACTATTTGGCTGCTTAAGTTATATTCTTTCTTTTATTAAAGTATGACTGGGCCATTCATAACATGGGTTAGCTGGTTATAATTTTTTTTTTCTTCAGTTTTTTAAAGTTTGAGTGGACTTGTGCTGTGGGTTTTATATGGATTAGGTAGGCAAAAGTGTATACCAACACATGGAATTGATATCAATTACATAGCTTATATATAGGTTTTTTTTTAGTGAAATATTTTTGGGTAGACGGTAGCCTACCCTGTCCTGGCTTAAGATCCGCCCCTGCCTGCACAATATATTGACGCGGGAATCTGATAATCTCATTCAGCATAATTATCACGCTAATAATCGTAATTAATCAACTTTATAAACAAACACTGAACTCGCCCGACCCGACTCAAATCCACGTCACTCTTCACTGTTTTTTTTTTTTTTTTTTTTTTTTTTTTTTTTCTCTCTCTCTCCTCTCTCTCTCACATACGACTTGTCGTCCTCAACGACGACGACGACCGAATCTCCTTGGCAATCTCTCTGAGCACAAACTTCTGAATCTTCCCAGTCGAAGTCTTCGGGAGCTCGTCCTTGAACACCACCGTTTTGGGCACCATGTAGTGCGGCAGATTTTCCCTGCAGTACTCCATGATCTCCTTCTCCGTCGGCTTCGGGCTGACGTCACTCTTCAAGCTCACAAACGCGCACGGCGTCTCCCCCCAGAACTCGTCAGGCTTCGCCACCACCGCCGCTTCGTTCACCGCCGGATTCGCGTAGAGCACGGACTCAACCTCCACACTGCTCAGATTCTCGCCCCCGGTTATAATAA